ATATATATATATATATATATTCGTTGGCAGAATTTTATTAAATTTTAAAAATATTTTAGATAATTTTTAAATTTTAATAATTAGAAAATAAAGCTACAAATACAATTTTTAAATATTTTGTAAAATACTCTGTATACATAGAAATGAATATAAAAACAACTATCGTATTATAAATTAGTGTTTTAATATTGTATCATGATCACATTTCGGTAAAGGACTAACATTTTTATTCTATGTAAAATATACTTTAATATTCCGCATTAATTTTGCTTGACATGATCATTCTTTAGAATCCTTTTCTGCAAGTTCTACGAATCTTCAATTGTGTATTAAAGTTCATTCCCATCTATCTTCTGCAAAGATGAAACGAAGATTAACTTACAAATTAAAAGTTGCTTCGTCATCACAAGTATCAATAAAAATTGCATAAGAGGTAATGTTGAACAATATTATTACATACTGAAATTCGATTAAATTCGGGTGTATTGTGATATATCTATCTTTATTTTCCAATGTATACATATATGATCGTCCTTCATTTAAAATATATTCTTTGAAAGTATTATTCCAAAATATGATTTTACAGAATTATATTTGCATTATTAGTCTATTATCATATATTTTAGTAATATTCATGCATCGTTAATACAAATCAACCGACAATATATTCCAATGTGAATAATCAAAAATTACAACGTGGCTTGTAATAATTTAATTATAAGTTACAAACTAATTAGATCTAGTGAGCGACACTTGCTCGATTTTATCTAGAAAGTGACGTGAAATGAATTATTGAAAACTCGAATACTATGATTCAAGAGTTACGCTTAAAAAAGGAGCTTGCAACGATTGATACACTACGAAGCACAGAATAATTCAAAAACTACGTCAGCCTGATTTCGTAGAGTATCGATGTAACGTTCAGTATTAATTTTACGAATTATCCGTAAAAGAGTTCCAAAGTGTGGCTCCTTTTATATCCTAAAATTTTGATGAATTTACACCCTAAAATTCATAATGATGAAATAGATTACGATCTCATAATCTCGTGTGATATACTTGCATAGTATGTATTAATATAAATTAATCACATAGTCTAAACACTTCAACTTCGTGGACATTGTACTAAATAAAAAAAAAAATAAAAAAAAGAAAATATATATATATATATACTCCACTTTTACAGTTCGTACTTTTTTTAATAATTATTTTTGTAGCTTTGTAAATCTTATAAATCGTATTTTATAAATATATAAATACCATTGGCCGATTAGATCTGAAAGTCATGTGAAATTGATCCGATAATCATTGTAAATCTCTAATTGTTAGCATTTTTTCTTAGTAATTATTCATATTTAATTTATTGATTGCGTTAATTCAATATTGAATATATTTCGTTGAGAATATTTTTTGCTAGATTTCTAAAATACATATCACCTCGTTCGTTATACATCTATTATTTAAACATTAGAAAAGAATATAATAGCGCAAGACCTCGGCATAAATAAAATTTGCACAAATTGTAATTTATCATCGAGACATAAATATTTATTGAATTTCTGAAACACTCGAGGCTATCTATACTATTAATTCATGCGAAAGATGTTTACCTCTAATATTCCATTTGAGAGTGCATAAGCCGCCATCATCAAAGTAGCAAAAAATCCAGCGACTAATTGAGTTCGTCTCTTGTTAGGAAATTCATTGTGTGTATATTGTTTTACGTTTTGAGCGTTTTTTTCTTTCGTTTTATATTCGTGACATTCATTTGAGAAGTATCTTTCCGATATGCGGGCTACGAACGTTACCAGATTTGTACAAGCCTTTAGGTGATTTTGCAATGCTGGATTTGGTAAAGGAGCTTTGAGCAATGGTGCTAAATAAGAATATACAACAGCATCCAACAGAGTAGGTTTTTCATTCAAAAAATATAGCGATTCTCCGAGGCTTGTAGATAGCAGTGTCAAACATTTCTGCGCTTCAGAATAGACC